CCCCGCCCCCCCCCCCCCCCCGCCCCCCTTCCCCTCACTGACCCCCCTTTCACTCTGACCCCGCAGGCGGATGACAGCGGCCTGGCGGAGCAGAGCGTGGCCCAGGTAGGCCCCTCCGAGTCCATCTTCCCTGGCCAGGAATGGGCTGGAAATGGGGGAGGAAGCACCCCAGGGGCTGTCACGGCAGGGGAGGGCCACAGCCATCTCCTGGGAAGATCACAGGCACTGCCTGCTCTCACCAGGCACCAGGGAGCTGCAGGACGGATGGGCCTGGTGTCACCCACTACCTCAGCTCCTGGTTAGCTGGATGGACTCAAATGAGCAGCCTGCGTTTTGTTTTGTTTTGAAGACGGTCTCATTATGCTGCCCAGAGGCCTTGAACTCCTGGGCTCAAGTGATTTTCCTGCCTCAGCCTCCTGAGGTAGTTGGGACTATCCACCGCACACAGCTTTGTTAAAGCACTCAGTGCCATCCTAGGCTGGTGGTGGCACAGGCCTGTAATTCCAGCACTCAGTAGGCTGAGGCAGGAGGATTGCAAGTTCAAGGGCAGCCTGGACAACATAGGGAGACCCTGTTTCAAAATGAAATAAAGCCAGTGATTTAGCTCAGTGGTTCTGCCACCTCCCTGGCAGGAGCAAGGACCTGAGTTCGATCCCCGGTAAAAAAAATTCAACATGAAATAAAAACCCAAAAAGGGCTAGGGATGGAGCTCAGCTCTCTCCCGGTTCAGTAAAAAAAAAAAAAAAAGCCCAAACCATGATAGGAGCTAACTTCCCCACTCGGCCTCAGTGACCCTGCTGAGTGGCCTGCCGCTCTACATGGTCCTGCTGGGGCGCACGGAGGCCGTGTGATTGGGGTGGGCTCCGGACTGTGGCCAGCGCCGCCTGCCGTCCCCTCTGCCCGCCCGCAGGTCTCTCTGCTGAGACTAACCCTGCTTTTCTGGAGCCCCGCCTGGCACTAACTCCTCCTCCTGCGGCCGCTCGGGCCCGAGGTGGTCCAGGCCAGCTGGTGGGTACCGCTTTCTGCCCTGCCCTCTGCTTCCGCATGTACCTTCTGCCCTGAGGGGAGAGCAGCTGCATGACCATTTTCGGGGGGGGGGGAAATCGGTTGGCAGGCGCTGAACAGCACAGGTAAGCACAGAAGTGCTGGTGGGCGCGGTGGTACCCTCGGGAGGCTGCAGGGGGAGGGCTGCTAAGAGTAGGAGGCCAGCCTAGACCACACAGTGAGGGCTCGGGATTAGCTCAGTGGTGTCGCGCCTGCCTTGCAAGTTCCAGGTCCTGAGTTCAATCTCTGGCACTGGAAAAAATTAGAATTAAAAAATAAAAAAAATAAATAAAAATAAATACATAGGAAGGCACAGTTAGTGGTGAATGGAGGATAGAAATGAGAAAGATTCCCCTAGGAGAAGCGGAGGAGCCCCCTGTCCCCAAGAAAGTTAGAAGGGACATCAACCACGTGGGCCGGACCCTCTCCCGACGTCTAATTCTCCCGCTCACCCCTGCTGGTTGGCCCTCGGCAGGTTGGGCTGGGGTGTTCCGTACGCGGTGCCAGCCTGGCCCAGGGCCCCCCGAGGTCCTGCGTGTCTAGACACAAGCAGGTCCGGCCGATCCCTCCCTCTGCGTGCGCGTGGCGCCGTGGGCAGGGATCCGCGGGGCGCTGCCAGGGCTGAAACACAGGAAGCAGAGAGCTGGGCGCGTTCGGCACCTTCCTGCCCGC